GGGATTATAGGGAGTTTCCTTCTTATTTTTATTAAAAGAGATTTTTAAAGTATGTTTTTATTATATATTTATTTTTTATTATTATTATGTTTTTGAGACAGAGTTTCACTATGTTGCCCTCGGTAGAGTGCTGTAGCGTCACAGCTCACAGCAACCTCAAACTCCTGGGCTTAAGCGATTCTCTCGCCTCAGCCTCCAGAGTAGCTGGGACTACAGGCACCTGCCACAGTGCCCAGCTATTTTTTATTGCAGTTGTTGAGCTAGCCCAGGCCAGGTTTGAACATGCCACCTTTGGTGTGTGTGGCTGGCGCCATAACCACTGTGCTATAGGTGCCAAGCCCAGTTTCCTCTTTAGATACATTAATAATTTAAGTCAATTTTAGGAAAAGTGATAAAGGTAGTCAGCCATGGCAATAACTGTGCAAAATAGAAGTTAAACAACTAAAATCTGTAAAATAGTAGTCCCAGTGCAAGGAATGAAGAAATGGCAGTAGAGGTGCGGAGAAGGGTGTGGGGTGGGAGAGGCTGGAGCAGTGCAAGCCATCCTCAGAGCAGCCTGGCCACCCGGCACAGGAGCCCACCCAGTCACTCTCTCTACCAGGGCCTCATAAGGGCCGCCTCACAGCCAGGATCACAATGTGGTGACGTGATTCGTTAGCATTCACTGTCCCCGCTCTCCCACTGAGGCTGGCACAGTCTCTCTCTTGCTCATTCTCATCTCCCCAGGGCCTGGAGCACTGCCTGGCTGTGCTGTGTATCTGCTGGGTGCATAATGGATGGAGGGCTATTTTGAACCTCAGATGACAGATTTTAAACTAAAGAGAAGGAACACAGGATGGAAAGGAAGGAGGGGAGCACAATGACTCCAGGGGTGTCTATGAGCCATGCTTGTGGGCACATAGCTGCGTAAAGCCTAAAAACAGGAACAGAAGTTGGGAAGAGGCCTACACTCACAATCAAGCAACTTTTCCTCCATGCCTCTCAGGTTGAGTTCTCAACAAATTCTTGTTTCCTCTTCTAAAATGTAAATTAAAACCTGCAGGCATGTCCAACCTTTGGCCCGCTGGCTGCAGATTATATGAGGACTTTCTTTTTTTTCTTAATAATTAATTTTTTTATTAAATCATAACTTTGTACATTGATGCATTTATAGGGTTCAGGGTACTGCTTTGATATACAATGTGAAATGTTTACATTGAACCAAGTAACACATCCATCACAATTATATTCACTTCTTAATAGTTTTGAAATGTACCATTGCATCATGCACATTAGGTGAGATCCCCCCGAATACCCTCCCTTCTCCTGTTCCTCCCCTCCCCTCCCCTGTCTCTCCTCTTCCCTTCTACTTTATGGACTATAGTTATGTTTTGCCATTCGTAGGACTTTCTTGCTTATCTGTGGTGCTGGAGATCATGAAAATTATGCATGGACCTTTCTTTTTGCTCAGCTTTTGTTAGTGTTTGTGTATTTAATGTGTGGCCTGAGACAGCTCTTCTTTCAATGCAAAGACGCCAAAAGTCGGACACCCCTGAGAGGTATCTTAAAACACTTCCACCCAAAGTCACTTCCTAAAGTGTATCACCTCAGCTTTTCCCAACCCTGAGCTTCGACACCTGGAATCCTGCTCCCAAGAACTTCCTTGCCAGGCTCAGTGCCTGTGGCTCAAGCAGCTAAGGCACCAGTCACATACACCTGAGCTGGTGGTTTGAATCCAGTCCAGGCCTGCCAAACAACAATGACAGCTGCAACCAAAAAATAGCTGGGCATTGTGGTGGGCACCTGTAGTCCCAGCTACTTGGCCCAGGAGTTGGAGGTTGCTGTGAGGTGTGATGCCACAGCACTCTACCCAGGGCGATAGCTTGAGGCTCTGTCTCAAAAAAAAAAAAAAAAAAAGAATTTCCTTGCCTGTGGCCCTGGAAAAGTAAATGTATTCATTTTATACAAAAACGCAAATGCAAAGTCATATAAATTCAAACACAGAAGTATATCTAGCAAAAGGAAAAGCAACCTTGCCCTAATTCTACTTCCCTCTCCAGAAGGGACAGAGTAAACTGCTTGATATCATACATCCAGTACTTTCTAAATGAATTTTTTATGTATACAAATAAAAATATAATTTTATTTATGTTAAACTTTTAACATTAATATGATTATGCTATATATACTTATTTAACAATTGAATAGTATTTTTCTAGTACATATCAAATCTGTGAATATTTTACATTTTAACAGATTTTATGAATTTGCCATGCAAACAAGCTTTCCTAGTTCATTATTCTTACTGAGGTTGAACATTGTATGTTTACTGGCTGTCTATACAATTCCCATTTCTTCTGGGAATTGCCTGTTTACAATCTTTGCCCATTTTTATTTTGTATTTGTCTTTTTCTAACGGATTGGTGGGAATCCTTCACTTAATAATCTTTGGGGTATGCACATTGCATGTACAGGGTATCCCAACAGGATATAGGGAAAATGAGACGTTGTAGCTAAATATGCCTTTATTTACAAAATATTCACTACAAAATTTTACAAAGAGGTGGCAACACATAGAGAATGTTTTGGAAAATTACCCATGTATGGCACCTTCAGGGGCGACTTTTGGGACATCTTGTATCTCTTTTTTTTTTTTTTTTTTTTTTGAGACGTAGCCTAAAGCTATCCCCCTGGGTAGAGTGCCATGGCATCACGCTCACAGCAACCTCCAACTCCTGGGCTCAAGCGAGTCTCCTGCCTCAGCCTCCCAAGTAGCTGGAACTACAGGCACCCACCACAACGCCTGGCCATTTTTTTTTGGTTGCAGCCATCATTGTTGTTTGGCGGGCCTGGGCTGGGGATTCGAACCCGCCACCTTAGGTGTATGTGGCTGGCGCCTTAGCCGCTTGAGCCACAGGCGCCGAGCCGACATCTTGTATCTCTCTCTGCCACTTGTCTGTCTTTAAACGTACCAAGTTTTTAATGTATAAAGAGTGAAAAGTATCATTCTTGCCCTCCAGTCATAAAGGGAAAGAATAAGAAATGTGACTCCATAAAAATACATATGTATAATGCACATTTATGAATATAAAATACATATATATATATATATATACTTCAGCACTTGATACACATTTACATCCATCAAATACTTTTCAGTGTGTATGTGTGTTTTGATGTAGCTTTTAATTCCTTACCTCAACAACTCTGGAATAAATGCTATTACTATTCCTCATTTAACAGATATAAGACTGAGGGACAGAGAAGTTAAGGCTGACCAATCTGTCTCCAGGGCCTATGCACTTAACCAATACCTTACTGTTTATTTATTTACTTACTTATTTATCTTTGAGATTTAGTCTCACTCTGTTGCCCAGGCAAATGTGTGGTGGTGTTAGCCTAGCTCAACCTTAAATTCCCGGGCTCAAGAAATCCTCTTGCCTCTCAGCCTTCTGAGTAGCTGGGATTATAAGCACCCACCACAATGCCCAGCTAACTTGTCTATTTCTATAAGGGAGTTTCGTACTTGTTCAGGCTGGTGTCAAACTCCTGAGTTCAAGGGATCCTCTCTCTTTGGCCTCCCAGAGTGCTGGCACCAACCCGGGCCCTAATACCTTATTTTGATTCAATATTACTCTACTCAACTCAGTCTCCCTTCATATTATAAAAGCAGCAATGATAATGGCATAGAAGTAAATAGCTCCTATAAAGAAATCAAATAATCCAGAAAAATCATATAACATAGAAAAGCTAAAAGTATAAAAAGATGAAATTTTATAAAGTATTAGAAAGCATAAGGATTGCTCATAAATGACATTAGAAACACCGGTTAGCATTATTTTCTTAAAGTCTGTTTAAGTCTACTTTCCACATCATCCACCAAAGTAAATACTAGAAGGAAATAAATCCCTTACAAGCAGAGAACTTAGATCTCTAACCAAAGCAGAGAACTTAGATCTCTGCCTTAGAGAAAGAATGAACAGATTTGACTATATAAAAATATTAAATAGCCACATGATTTTAAAAAAACTAATTTTAAAAAGGTAAAACAATAGATTGGGAAAAACAACTGACAAAAACATGGCAATAAATCTTACTAAACTCATATAAATTATTAAAAAATGACAAGCATTATGATCCAAAATACTGATCAAAAAAGAAAGGACATTGGGAGGCCAAGGTGGGTAGATTGCCTGAGCTCACAGGTTTGAGACCAGCCTGAGCCAGAGTGAGATCACATCTCTAAAAAAATAGCTGGGCATTGTGGGAGGCACCTGTAGTCCCAGCTACTTGGGAGGCTGAGGCAAGAGAATCACTTGAGCCCAAGAGATTGAGGTTGCTGTGAGCTATGACACCACAGCACTCTACCAGTGACAAAGTGAGACTCTGTCTTTAAAAAAAATATAAAGAAAGAAAGAAAAAAAGTACAAGTTGTAAACAACATGTGAAGGAATTTTCAGCCTAGCTCATGCCTGTAATCCTTTCAGAGGCCAAAGCAGGAGGACTTTTTGAGGCCAGGAGTTCAAAAACATTCTAGGAAACATAGCAAGACTCCATCTCTACAAAAAATTGTGGCGCATACCTGTAGTCCTAGGTACTCAGGAGGCTGACACAGGAGGATCACTTAAGCCCAGGAGTTTGGAGGCTGCAGTGAGATGTCACTACATTCCAGCCTGGGCAACAAAGTGAGACCTTGTCTCTCATAAAAAAAAAAAAAAAAAGAAAGAAAAGAAAAGAGAGAAATGCAAAATTACAATAAAGAGATTCTGTTTTACCTATTCTTTACCCCCCATGATACTGTTCACTGATGGAATGGATGAAATTAAACTAGCACTCTCACACACTGTGTTGACAGAAAAGAATTCAGTGACTGGGTGCGGTGGCTCACACTCACCTAGTAGTCTGCAAGGCTGAGGTGGGAGTATCATCACCTCAGGTCAGGAGCTCAAGCAAGAGCAAGACCCCCATCTCTCAAAAAAAAAAAAAAATAGAAAAAATCAGCTAGGTGAGGTGACACCCACCTGTAGTCCCAGCTACTTGGGAGGCTGAGGCAGGAGGATCGCTTGAGCCCGGGAGTTCAAGGTTGCTGTGAGCATTGATCACGCCACTGTCCTGATGCTCAGGCAACAGAGCAGACTCTGTCTCAAAGGAAAAAAAAAAAAAAAAAAAGCAATTCAGCAACATATACAAGCACCATTAAAATGTTCATAGCCCTTTGTCTAGTAATTCCACATCTGAGAATCTATTCTAGAGTTATAACCCCAAAACATAGGTAAAGTTGTGTGGGCAAAGACAGTTACTAAACTATAATTTATAATAGCAAACACAAGCCACAAAAAGCAACATAATTTTAAAGAATAGGGAATGATAAATAATTTATGAAACAATCACTTAATATAACATTATATACCATTATATACCATAAAAAATAATTGTGAAACTACATAATATTTAAAAACCTGTGGTATTTTTTTTTAAAAAAGACTGTGATATTTAGTCATACAGGGCATGGAATTGAGTCACTATTTCTGTGATTCCCAAATTTACTGAAATGCTGTGCCAGAACATAAGCTCTGTATTGGAAGAGACCTGAGTTCTCACTCTGCACCACTCACCTGTGCGACCTTGGCCGAGTTACATAACCTCTCTAAGCCTCCGTTTCCTCACCTTGTAAAGTGAAGACCACAAATGCAGCCACCCCGTGAGGTTAGGAAGAGCTTGTCCCTGTACCTGTCACCTAGTGTTTGCTCAAAAATGGTTTTATTATTTTAAAAATTTTAACATATTTGAAAAATAAAAGTGAAATGAGAAAGGTATTTCACATACTGTGGTTTATGTCAAAGTCCAGATTTTTTTTTTTTGAGACAGAGCCTCAAGCTGTCCCCCTGGGTAGAGTACTGTGGCATCACAGCTCACAGCAACCTCCAACTCCTGGGCTCAAGCGAGTCTCCTGCCTTAGTCTCCCAAGTAGCTGGGACCATAGGCACCTGCCACAATGCCTGGCTTTTTTTTTTTTTTTGGTTGCAGCCGTCATTGTTGTTTGGCGGCCTGGGCTGGATTCGAACCCGCCACCTTAGGTGTATGTGGCTGGCACCTTAGCCACTTGAGCCACAGGCGCCGAGCCCGTTTATTTTGTGTCCCCTCTACTTTAGGGTGTCCCTCTGGTTAGACGGCACTTACATGTCAACTCACTTGGCAAAGAAGAGATTAAAGGAAGTGAAACGCGGCTGCTCTAGAGAGGAACCTCGCCAGAACATGGAGTCCATGGAGCCGGGTTGTGAAGGAACAAAGAGAAGCTGCGTGAGTGGCACGACAGCAGTGCCACAGACCTGCGTCCCCACCTCTGCCTTCAATGAGAGGGGGCGGAAATCACATCTCCCAAGTAAACTTAAAATATGGACTTCCTGCACTGCTGAGCTAAATATTTTATTCCAGTGAGAAACAGCGGGACAGGAAATAAAATGAAAAACATAATTAATGGAAAATGGAGTGGTAAGGAGAGATCTCAAAGTTTCTCGAACCCTGGCAGGACGGGGTGGTGTGGGTGGGAGGAACTGTCTAAAGCAAACCACATACTAAATAAGTAACTTCCAAGAAAAGCCTCTACCTTTGTCACATTATCTTTGTTGAGATTCTGCCATCCAGGCGTCATAAGCATCTAATTTCAGACTCTCGCACAAGGCATCGCCCGAGCCCTGGGACATGGTCAGACCCTCTGCCAGATGAGAAGACACTCCCCAGTGCCCATCTCCTCCCCGGGGAGACAGCCCAGATCCTTCCGGGGAGCTAACACCAGTCAAGTGGGCAGTTCTCTCCACAGGACCCTCGACTTCCCACACTTGATGCACAGAATGCCCTGAAGCAGCCCTATTCAGCTCCGATGTGAAAGCAGATCTCCACACTACTACTAATTAGTGCCCGCAGAGGGAGGACCTCGGTCCACAGAACTTTGTCTATTTACTTGAAGTCAGAATTAATCATCTTTACTCTGCAAGATGAAACAAGTGAAAAGCCATGAGAAAAGATGATTTTTTTCAGGATAGCAGATGAGTTTCAAATCCCTTTTCAGCCTCTCAAAAGCACACCTGTAACATTAACTCACCCCGTGCACGTACCCCAGAAGGTACTAACACTGCCTTCGTCACATCAGGGTTCACTGTGTCTGTTAGACAGTATGTCCAAAGCAGAAGAACCTCTTCCCCAGATAAAAGCTATTTTCTATGATTTTCCATCCTCATCTTTAATAATAACCAACTATGTACTTACTGCAAAACCCTTTGCTTCTGTGCTTCTCCGGAGCTGCTGACCTCAACCAGTAAGTCACACACTATTCTGGGTTTGATGCCGGCTTGGGAGGAAAACCACACTCGGAGGGGATGGGCAGAGAGGGCTTGAGCAACGCTCACTCAGGAAGCAGGCGGGCTCTTCTCTCCCCTGCTCCCGACAGCCTCTCCCTCTCTCGACTATCTCTCACAATTTCTCTCTCTCCCTCCCTCCCTCTCTTTCTTTTTCTCAAGCACAAAGTATAAAATAATATTTCCATCCTACTGTGCCCTGAAAACTTAATTTGTACCTCCCAATGTAAGGATTTAAAGACGTAGGCTGGCTAGCTTCTTGCTGATTGCTCCCTGAGATATCAAATAGGAAAACAAAACAAAACGCCACCCCCAGTCTGCTCTTCAGAGGCGGGTTTACCACGGAGCCTCAGGGCCCTTTGCCCGCAGTGGCCCTGTGTGTGCTCTGAGTTCTGGGTGGCTGGGAAGTCAGGTAATGACCACAGTGCCTATTGCAGCAGGTAGTTCTGGGGAACCAACTAAGCTCTCAGAGGGAGGGGGTCAAATAACTTGTGATTTCTTTATTATAAATAAATATTTTCATACCCAAATTTGAATTGAGAGGGCTCCAAAATGATACAGGCATCCTCATAAAACGTGGGGTTCCCTGCCACTACAGGTAGCCTACAGTAAGCCCCAAGGACAAAGGGACCTACTGCAAAAGGGAGCAGACGCACTACCCAGAAAAAAACATGGCAGAAATTCTTTTTTAACTTTTATTTATTTTTTATTAAGTCATAGCTGTAGAAATTCTTGAAGGTAAGTAACATTCTTGAACATGTGTTATATCCACACCCCCCAGGAACTCTAGTCAGTAGTCCTAGGATAAGCTTAGTCCTTGACATAAGCTGGATTTCAACTGCCATTTTACTGAATAACACGTGTGGAAAGCAGCCGTGTGGCTCTCATCTGGTGAAGAGCATGGCTACAAGCAGGCGGTACGGGTTTACAAAGCCTCAGTGTGACACAGAATCCCACGTGTTCTCTACAATTCTATCCCCTGCACTCAGATTTTGCCATTCCAGCTGACAGAGCATGGTAAAGAGCTCTGGTCAGGCAACTTAGAATTGTCCATCCTCTGCTGGGCTGCAACTACAATGGGCGGCCTCCACTCCATCTCCAATGCTGCTGCCTCTCATGGCCATCCCTCTTTGCCTTAAAGAAGGCAAGAGACCATCCCTCTTTGCTTTAAAGAAGGCCAGAGGGTGTCTTAGATCTGCTCTCACTGAGGCACATCTACCCTTTGGGGGTTGGGCACAGAGGGACTCAACTCTTCTAGGACACCTCCTAGCACAGGGAGGGAACCATTGCATAGACATAGGAGGTGGTGGTCAACACTCTGCAAATAGCAGATGTCCACCTCAACCTTGTTTAAGCAAAATGGCAAGAAAGACTAACCAGAAAATCTCTGGGTGAATTCATGCTGGCTTTAAGCCAGCTAGACCTTGAGGCTTTGATGAAACATAAATGTAATCACCTCTCAGCTCTTCCTATGTTAGCTTGATTCAAACACACGTGCTCTAGGGATAGGAAGGCCTTGCAGGGGTTTTAGGACAATTTTATAAATAATTTTCTTCATGTTTTTAATCCTATTAGAATTTTATTGAAATTACAACACATTTATGAAACTACTTATGGAGAATGAATATGTAATTGGGAGAACATGGTGTGTTTTTTCACCCAGTTTTCTTTTTTATCATCCAGTAGAGATTTTGGGGTTGGGGTACCTATAATTTTCTTACCAGATTCATTCATACATATTTTTATATACATTTGCTGTTGTCAGTATGATCTCTTTATCATGTGATAGCTTATTTAATCGCATTATTTTATTATAAAATTTAATACATACTCATTTTTGGAAAATTTAGAAGCTACAAGGTGAATTTAATAAATAAATGGCCCACCCTTCGAGAGAGAACCACTGCGAGTATTTTCTTTTTCTCGTTCTCTTAATAGATTTTCTGTCCTGTTGGGGGATTCGGGTTGTTTCACTGTCGAGGCTTCTGGCGGGGGGGCGGTGTTTGGGTGCTTGGTCGTCCCTTTTTTTCTGGGTCTTTTTTTTTTTCACTGTTTGGGAACTGCTCTTGTTTTCCCTGTTGGTGTTGGCTGTTCTCCACGGCGTTTTTTGGCTTGTGTGGGCTGTTGTGTGTTTGTGTTTTGCTTTCTTTTTTTGGGAGTGTCTCTCTTCTTGGATCTTTCTCCCTGAGATGCTCGCAGTGGTTCTCTCTCGAAGGGTGGGTCATTTATTTATTAAATTCACCTTGTAGCTTCTAAATTTTCCAAAAATGAGTATGTATTAAATTTTATAATAAAATAATGCGATTAAATAAGCTATCACATGATAAAGAGATCATTATTGACAACAGCAAATGTATATAAAAATATGTACGAATGAATCTGGTAAGAAAATTATAGGTACCCCAACCCCCAAATCTCTACTGGATGATAAAAAAGAAAACTGGGTGAAAAAACACACCATGTTCTCCCAATTACATATTCATTCTCCATAAATAGTTTCATAAATGTATTGTAATTTCAATAAAATTCTAATAGGATTAAAAACATGAAGAAAATTCTTCATAAAATTATCCTAAAATTTATCTGGTAGAATAATTTATTCTTCTATACAGACTCTATAGAATAACTGATTCTTATCTAAAGAAGAAAAGTCTTTAAAAAACTGTAAAGGACTTCTACTACCAGACAGTAAAATAGA